CTTCTCCAACTTAATTTGTAATTCCAAAGAATTATAGAATTTAATCAGACCATGAAAAATTAAATGAAGATGTCATAAGCAGAAGCTAGAAATGATTAAGTAGAATCTTCATATATATACTTGTCACATTATTAGTATCCTTAGCTCCATTAAGTGTGGATCGTACCATAAATACTATCAATAGAATAACTCCCAAAAAGATAGCGATTAGTCTGAGGGAATTTTCCCAATATTGTGGACAGTAATTACATTAATAATCATTGTCTCTTGAATAGCCTTTGCTACAGTCTGTACAAAGAATTCCTCTATAGCCTTGAAGGCAGTCTCCCATAGGATTTTAATTTGGAGGTATCATTCCGAGACATGCGGGTTCAAAAAGACACTTTTCGATACGCTTAGTTGTATTACTTTTTCTCCAATATCCTGGTAAAGGACCAATATTTGCACCTCCAATGCATATTGCTTTCTCGGTTGGACAAATTTCACAGGAGCTTGGCTCTATCATTTTTATCAGTGAGTAAGTATTGTCTTAGCATTCAATACATTTTCCAGCTGATGTAAATTACTCTCCTTCAATACATTCTCTCAGATGTATATCTAATGAGAAATCGAGATTCGTTTTGTTTAACAGTTACATTACTTTTTTATTTGATTATTTGTTAAGATCAATTCCATTAGATGAAAATGTAACAAACTGCTTACTTCCCGGGGTTCCTGTAACTATTACATCCTAAATAATAGCAATACCACTAGAGGCTTAAAAATCACTGTTTCCTTAAAGAATAGCTGGGTACATTATTGCTTTTTCATCCAGATTATTTGCCTGAATAGATATTCTAACTTTACTGTTAGAATCTGATCCAACAATCTATCCATATTAATCAATTAAAGCCATATAAATAATAGGTATAGCACCACCACTCTTTTAGCTTTAAATTGATTAAAAATATTAAATTTTCTCAGCTGTAGTATATTATAAAAGTCTTTAGTTCGTATTTTCTATCAAACCTAATTTTAAAATATGAGCCAAATATTGGTTTACTGATAAAGATCCCAATTTTTAAGGGAAGCAGGCTAAATTATCCCCGTATTAAAATGCAGAGTTATCTATGAAATTAAGATTATTGCTATCGAAAATAGGCTCAAGAATAGTCCAGTAAATAGCTCCTCCCTTAATATAGGCATTATTATGTTTAAAAATATTAACTCCATCAAAAATTAGAATGCAATTTAATATTTCAGCATTGCAAGAATAATAAATAGCTCCTCCAGAAGCTAAATCTGCTGCATGAATTTAATACTCTGGAATTACCTTAGCAGTGTTTCCAATAAATTTGCTATTTTAAATAAAAACAGATTGAGCATTATCAAGCATTAAAGCACCACCTTATTCACCGGTACAGTTGGTAAAGGTAGAATTAATGATTTAAAACTTTTTATTATTTTTATTTGAAGTTTCTTTACCTAAATCTTATTCAAGTATGTATATTGCTCCTCCGTAAACAGATCTTAAATTAATAAAAGAAGAATCTCTTATTTCAAGACCTCTACAATAATAGCAGTATATTCCTGCACCTCTATATGAATTTTCATTTTGGTTAGCATCTTTAATCACCAGCTCCTATGAATATATTTTTGCCTGCTCTATATAGATAGAATTCTTGGCTTTCAAATTTGTTATTTAAACTTATTTTAAAGTTATTAAATTAAGAGAGCTTGTCAAATAAATATCATCTCCTAAATCACCAGCATAGTTATCTATAAATTGTGTAGAATTTCCTATATTAATACTTTGAAAGCCATTAGAAAAAATAGAACCACCTTTCGATCTAGCCTTATTATTTTGGAATATTGATGATTAAATATTAGCATTGCTGTCACCAGCTATGTATATAGCTCCTCCCTCTATTGACATCCCATTTTTGAATTTAGTTGCTATAATATTAATGTTTACATTGAAGATCAAAAATAAATATGATCCAGTAGTTTTCACATCTTATAATTCATTCTACCAATTACTATTCTGTGAACTATCAAACTCAGAATTCTCTATTGTCAAATTTGCAAAGCCACATAAAATCCCTTTCGTTCATTCAATGGCATAGTTATTCAAGAATACAGAATTTGAAATAATGACATTTGCATACATTATAAACATAGTGTTTCTTATTGAGTAATTATCTATAAATTTAGATTAGGTTATTGTAATATTTGTGATTTAGCTAGCGCCTAAAATTTCTAAAACTGAATTTTCTTTGGCAATATTACTGCTAAATATTGAATTTGATATCTGCATTGTAGAAAGAGTATTTAAAACTATAATTCCTCCTGAAGTAGAAGCATAATTATTAGAAAAGTAGCAATTTGCAATAGTTAGATTTGAATTAGAAGCTATATGAAATACTCCTCCTACCTTACCTTGGTTGTAGCTGAGTTTTGAAGATTCAAAAACTATTTAAGCCTCAGAACTACTTACTACTCCCCCTTGTTTTCCTGAGTTGTAAATAAAATTTGATTTATAATCATAAAATTTTGTATTTTTCAAAGTAAAAACTCCTGCATCAGTTGCTGTCCCACAATACTTGTATATATTGTAATATGAATTCACTTGATCTGCATTTGTAATAAAAAAATAGTTTTAACTTGAACTTGTATGATTTTCATCTAATAACTGAAAGGATTTATTCTTAAATGTCTGAAATTAATCACAGATGAAAGTAGATCTTTTGATATCAATTATTAACTATTGAGAATCTGAATATATAAATGCACCAGAAGGAGATTTAAAATCCTAAAAATATGAGTCCTCAATTTCTAATATTTATCCTTTTTGGATACTCATAAAGCCGCCAAATTATGATGAAAAAGATGAATTAAGACTTATGTTTTTAAGTTTTAAATGAAGCTTTGAGTTTTGAGAGACTAAAAATCCTCCTTTACTAGATTATGAATCTATTCAATTACTATTCATTAATTAAAATGTAGATTCAGCAGTTGTATATAAATCAGATTGTATTAAATAAATAAATCCACCCTCTAATGTAGAGTTACTGCCTTCTATGTGTATATTATCTAATATAATTTATACAGTATTGCCAGCATAAATAGTTCCTCCTTTAATAGCTTAATTATTTATAAAAGATGACTTTTTCATTTTTAAGTTACATGAATCACATGAAATAGCTCCTCCAAATGGTGCATAATTGTTTTTAAATGTAGAGTTATAATCAGAAAATGATGAATTTACAACATGAATTATTGATCCTTTATTAGGCACTTAACATTCTTCAAAGTTAGAAGAGTAGCTTTTGAATCCAAATAATGAATTCTTAATATAAATCACTCCATTATTTTATGCAGATAATAATTCCCCACCATCTTTTATTGTTTATTAGCACTGAATTGTTACATTTATAAGTGTAAGATTAGCATTAGGATGAGTAAGTTTAATAAGATTAGATATCTCTGGATCTTTAAAACCTGTTATATATGAGTTTTCTATTATGATATTATTGGTAATTTCTGTTAATTCAAATAATATCCCTCTAGCGTCTAATAAGAGAAACGAAGAATTCGTGTTTTTCAGGACCATGTTGCGAATATATAATCTAGAAATATCTGAAACAGAAAATATAATTGACATCTCAAAAAAATAATCATATTATACAAATATATCCTCTAAAATTAAGTCTTAAAGTATTGTAACTACTGGATAATCACTATAAAATGATTCTGCTTGAATCAAAACACCTTTTAGCCTTCGAGCTGTAAAATTTTAATGATATTAAAATGAGTTGAATAATATAATTATAGCATCTGAATATTCGTAGTTGTCTTAGATAATGCAATTCCATGAAAATAGTTTTGAAAATTCTCCATATAAAAAATTATAGATATATGATTATTCAATAAAAGTATTATTCAAAATTACATAAGCTATGTTAACAGGTGAATAAATATTAATCACATATCCATTAGTTACTGCACAATTTATCACAGTAAGATTATCCATTTAAACCTAAGTAATATGCTAGAAAAAATATATTGTGCTTAGTAGTTCTTATTCATTGTAAATACTTTCATAATCATCCAATATGACTGTATTATTTTCTTCTTTATATTCATGATAATCCTTTATTTTATTTGTCTCAAAGCACTTAATATATGTTTAGTTGATAAACGCTGATTCAACTAAGCTCCCTACATTGACAAAACTTGCTTAATACCAACTATTTCTATTTCTGATATTAGCAACTTGCGTATTGTGCATTTCAAAAATATAAGCATGTTCCAGATAAAATCCATTAGTTGCTATTGCACATGTAAAATTAAAGTAGAGATCCTTTGTTATTAAAATTCCATAATAGTTATCAAAATAAATAAAGCTTCCATCTAATGATAGGATATTGAAAACATTGATATTTGTCATCCAGAAATAATAAGGCTTAAGATCAATATTGTCATAGTAAAAACTTTAGTAGAAGATTGCTCCAT